CATGCTCAATAATCCAGGTATAAAATCCAACATTTTTCAGTCAGGTCTGGTGTTCTTGATGACAAACTGACCTTTGACCCCCATGTGAACTCACTTTGTAAGAAGGTCCACCAGAAGATGTATTTTTACCATAAGTTCTGTGGTTTTAATGTAGATTCTACTTTTATGAGTTTTATGTTTTTATTGAGTCTTTTTTTTAATCTTCATCTGTTAGTTTGGATTTTTAATGTAAAAACAGGAACAAACTCTCCGGGATTGTCAGGACGTGCAGTAAAACTGTAGCATCGCCCTAAAGAACCTCACTGACCTACACAAGGCGAGGTCAGTGAACAAGACCAGGCTGATTCTGGCAGATCCTGATCACCCACTCCATGGTGAGTTCAGGTTGCTTCTTCTGGACACAGGTATCTGCTGCCCAGATGTAGGACCAACAGACTGAACAACTCATTCATTCCTGCAGTGATCAAGCTTCTTAATGAACAGTGATGATTTCTGTACTGTTTTTTTAATGTCTTGTCTAGTATAAATGTTTTGTGTTCCTACTGACGGTGAAACAAATTGCCCCTTGGGGAAAATAAAGATACTTGAATTTGAACTTGACTCAAACGTCCAGGTCTCAAAATCCTGCAGATAATTATTAATTAATAAAACTAGTCCAAATCTGCCAATCCTCTTTTCAAACATGTCCTCCAGTAGATTGAATCACAAACATAAGGAGGTACAAAACAGACCAAGGGATGTGGGTGGAAGTGCGGGAAAATAATGTGCATGACCTAGAATAGAGTTTTTCCAGTAGTATACATAAAAAAAGGATGTGTCTTTCAAAAAACTGCTCACATAAAACTTGTCTTCACGGCTCGCTGGTTGGAAACACTTTGAATTCAGTGACACTGCAACTGAAAGTCTGCCTATTTTCTCGCAATTTCGAGTCACCAACTGGTCTCCCGCAGTCCCAGCCCAGTGAGATACTGGCTTCAGATGAAAGGAAAGCAGCTAAAGCAGAAAGGAAAACCCTCGCATTGTGTTTGTCTCAGAGCAGAGGGTCGGGGCAGCTGTTTGATTCCCTGGCTCGGGGACCGACTTCATAACCTTTTCCAAATTGTTTG